AAGGTTGAGGGTGTGAATCTGGTGGAGTCTCTGCAGAGTCCTGAGGCAGTACAGGACATCCCATGGTGAGGGGCTGAGTGTGCCAGCTCAGGTCTCTCTTCCATTTCTTGTAAAGCTACTGTCCCACTCCCATGATAACCCATTAATCCATTAACCCATTAATCCGTTAACGCATGAATGGATCATTCCATTCAGGAGGGAGGAGCCCTCTTGACACAGTCACCTCCCAAAGGCCCCATCTCTCAACACTGACACCTTGGGGATTAAATTTCGTCATGAGTTTTGGAGGGGACATGGATTCAAGCCACAGCAGTATTCAAGCAGATCTGGATATGAATTTTTATAAGCATTATAAGCTTTGTATAGTAATCTTTTTAAATTAATAACTATACTCCTGAGGACAGTTTGCCATCTCTGAACATCGCCATGCTGTTGCTCACTTTGTTAGATTGCAAGGCATATGCAGGTAGTTAAATAGACAAGTAAGTAGTCCATGGAAACCACAGCACTCACTCCAAAAGGGAGGGGGACTGACATATTTGTTCCTCAATATAATGTTTGCTGCATGCTCAAAAGATACTTGATACTTGGCCGGCTTTCTCTTCTGTAAGACAACTCTCTCTAGTGTTAGGCATCTGTTAAGGTCCAACTGTGCTGCCCTCCTTCCTACCTCCTCCTCCTCATCACATGGGCAGGACAGAAAGGAGAACTGGTACAGACATAAAGCTCTGTGTTTGCCATGAATAATAAAGTCCTTTATCTCTGATCCAGGAGTTTCTTTTCTTCTGCAACTAACCATGAAATAGTAACAAGCTAAACTGTTTGCTTATAAATAGGGTAAAATCCAGAAGTGTCACAGTTCTGGGCACATTAAATAACAACAGCTAATTGTATTCTCTGTTGTGACCATAGTCATGGTGCCCATAGTCTGTGGGAATTATGTTAGTAATCCTTCACCACCGTCCTGTTACATATTGGTTTTACGTAATGTCTATATAACTTGCCCAAAGTGGTAGAATAGGCATAAAACTTTGTTGTTTTTCTGTCTTGAAAACGTATGCATATTACAGCTGTACTACACCATGGTACCTCTCATTAATATATGTTCCTTTGTTCCTTTGCCTACCTACATATACCTTGATCAACTAACACACTATAAAATGTCATCATCCAGGGTTCAAAGGAAGACTGATCTCACATTTATGTAAACTTGTTCCTTAGCTATTCCTGCCTTTCTGTCAGGTCTGGTCCTATGTGCCCATTTGCTAGTCTCTTTTCATTCCTGCTTTCCTTGATTCTATAGTACAGTTGGAAGGCAGGGCATAGAGAAGGGATGTAAAACAATAAGACTTTGTGGTTCCTGAAAGAAGCCTTTCAAATTACTTTCTTCCTCCTCTATCAAGGTTAGTATGCAAAATTATGTGCATTTCTATATATTAACAATCAATAATTGGAAATTGAAATTTAAAAATAGATTCATAAGAGCATAAAACTGGAAAACATCTAATAATTATTTGGAATATTTTAATTCTAGAAGCTACAAAGTACTGATAAGAGAAATTGACACGGATTAAAATAAAGATACTGTCCTTATGAATGACAAAATTTGCCATTGTTAGCATTTTAATTCTCCCCACATTTATTTATCAATTGACTACAATGCTAACCACAATCCGAAGAGGCATTCTTATAAGAAATGACAAATAGATTATAAGCTTTATATGAAAATGCTAAGGATCTCTAATTGCCAAAAAAAAATTTTAAAAAGAAAACAAGATAAGATGACTCATATGAGCTGATTTCAAGGCTTTCAGAGGAGGTACTTTAATCAAGAAAGTGTAGTATTGGTTTAAAAATGGACGATTATGTCAATGAAACACACTGAAAAGTTCCAAAATAGACCCACACATATATGGTCAATTGATTTTTAACAAAGATGTCCAGGTAATTGGCTGGGGAAAGATATTTCTTTTCAAAAATGATGCTGAAGCATTTGGACAACCATATGAGAAAATAATGAGCCTTGACTCAAATATAGCACCATATAAAAAAAAAGCCACTCACAATGAGTCCCAGACATAAATGTAAAGCATAAAACCATAAAATTTCCAGAATAAAATTTAGGAGAAATTTTTGTTGATCTTGGGTTAAAAAAAGAATTCTTAGATAAGACACAAGAAGCTCAAACTGTAAGAGAAAAAAACTTTTCTCTGAACCACTGTTATGAAAATGAAGGTACAGAGACAGAATGGGAGAAACTATTTGTCACACACATATCTCATGAAGGACTTGTATCCAGAGTATATAAACTCAATAATCTGACAACAAAGAACCCAATAAAAAAAATGGTCAAAAGATTTGAACTCACATTTTACCAAAGAGAAACATTGTGTAGAATTACGAAGACCCCAAATTGCCAAAGCCATTTTGAGAAAAAACAAAGCTGAAAGTATCACATCCTTGATTTCAAACCATATCACAAAACTATAATAATCAAACAGTATGGCACTGGCATATAAACAGACACACAGACGCATGGAACAGAATGCAGATCCCAGAAATAAACCCAAGCATATGTTATCGGCTAATCTTTGACAAGGTTACAAGATTACACGTTAGGGGAATGACAAGAATAAACAATGGGGAAAGGAAAGAAACTTTGATAAATGGTGCTTGGGAAACTAGATATCCATATGCAGAAGCATGGAATTGGACCCTTGTCTTATACCATGTAAAAAAATTAACTTGAAATGGATGAAAAACTTAAATGTAAGATCTGAAACCATAAAACTCCTAGAAGAAAACAGGGAAGAAGTTCCTTAACATTGGTCTTAGCAATGACTTTTTTTTTTTTTTTGATATGACACCAAAAGCATAGGCAACAGAAGAAGAAATAAACAAGTCAATTACATCAAACTAAAAGAATTGTGCACTGCAAAGGAAACAATCAACAAAATGAAAGGGCAACATGTGAAATCATAGGAAATAATTGCAAATATATTTATCACATATATGATATATCATAAATATCCAAAATATATAAGGAATTCACACAACTCAATGTCATAAAACAAATAACCTAATTTTTACAAATGGACAAAGGACCTGAATAGGTATTTTTCCAAAGAAGACATACTGATGGCCAACACGTGTATGAAACAGGTGCTCAACACCACTACTCATCAGAGAAATGCAAATGAAAACCACAGTAAGATACGATCTCATACCTGAAAGGATGACTGTTTTCAAAAATGCAAGAGATACCAAGTACTGATGAGGGTGTGGAGGAAAGGAAAGCCTTGTGCACTATTGGTGAGAATGTAAGTAGGTACAGCCATTACGGAAAACAGTATGGGGGGGTTCCTCAAAAAATTAAAAATAGAACTTCCATACTATCCAGCAATGTCGCTTCTAGGTATGTTGTTCAAAGGAAATGAAATCAGGATCTCGAAGAGATACCTACACTCCTGCATTCATTTCAGCATAACTCACAATAGCCAAGCTATGGGCACAATCTAAGTGTCCATCAGCAGATGGATGAAGAAAGAAATTGTAGTGCATATCTACAATGGGATATTTTCCAGCTCAGAAAAGAAGGAACTCCCATCATTGGCAGCAGCATGGATGAACCTGGAAGACATTATGCTGAGTGAAATAAGCCAGACACAGAAAGACAAGTACCACGTGATCTCACTTATGCGTGGAATCTTAAAAAGTCAAATTCATAGAAGCAGAGAGTAGAAGGGTGGTTGTTAGGAACTAGAGGGTGGAGGAAAAGGAGCCCAAACTTTCAGTTGTTAGATGCACAAGTTCTGGAGATACAATGTGTAGCATTTGTGGTGATGGATGTGTTAACTAATATAACCTTTACTCAGTGTACATCAAATTACCACATTGTACACCTTAAATATATTTAGTTTTTCTTGACAATTAAGTATTTTAAATAAAAAAATGAAATTCAAATTAAAACCACAGTGTGAGAAGACACTAACACACCTAATAATAATTGACTCCAAAGGGCAAAAGGGACTTTTGGAGGTGAAAGTAATTCTACATATTGCTGGTTATTTTGGTTAGACAACTATAAATCTCATTGAACTAAACAACAAAGGGTGAATTTTACTGTATATAAATTAGATCTCAATAAACCTGAAGTTTAAATAAAATAGGCCAAAAAAAGTGCATTTAGCTTTATTTAGAATCACAGCTCTTATTGTGGACTACGTGAAATAATTATGTTTACATATATTGCACTTGATTAAATATGCATGCATTTCTGCTTGTATGGTAACATTTAGGGAGATACATTTTTAAATTTTAATAAAATATCACAATTACAAATTTAACACTTATTTTGTATTTATTATTTTATGAACATTACAAAATAATGGCTTTATTTTGGCAATGAAGTCTATAGAAGAACAAACAATGAAATAGCTTTTGTTTTATTTTTTGGCCTAGCTTGAACTGCACTGAAGTAACATAATTTATTCTGCTTGTAACACTGCAATCTTTAAACATATCTTTTTTCTAGTTCTCAAATCATTATTTCATTGCAAACTTGAAATGTTGCCCATGATTCTATATTTTAAATCCCAAATGAATAATATTTTAACAATCATACAATTACACCTTTCTTCACTTGTTTGCAGTCCATTTTCACATTTAAATATCTTGCCTTGTTCAGTATGCATTTCGACCTTAGCTTTCAAATTGCTTATTGATTTGTCTATTACAGTCAGATATACCATTCATAAACATTTTCTTCTGGAGTTCAAGTAAACATGTTTTTTTCTTTTAAAAATGAAAATGAATGAAATTTGGCATTAATAAAAATGTTTACAGAACTCCCATTAATATTTTTTCCTACAGTTTATAAAAAGTATTTCTTATCCGAATAAAATAAGCATCTATAGTCCAGCTATCCTGTAGTGGTAATTTTTGATTGATACAATGTTAGAAAAAGAATAATTATAGTATTGATTTTTTTTTTCCTGTAGCAGTCCCCTGGTGTTACCAATTGCCAAACAAGACAGTTTGTTGGAAAAAGACATCATGTTCAAAGATGCAACAAAAGGTCTATGTAAACAGCAGTCTCAGGACAGCACCCCTGAAAACACAACAATGAGTGGCTCCACCAAACCTGAGCAGGTAATCGCACCCTCACTGCATGGCTACTGGTATCTTTTCATGTAAAATAATGTTTTAAAATCCAACATATTTTATAAACAAATATCCACTCACTGCCATTCCAAGAAAAAATAATGAATGCATAGATTAATATTTTGGTTGCGGTTTCCATGAATAAGTAGGGAATTATACCAATTATTAACAAACGTAATTGTTCTTGTGCTTTACAACTATTTGAATTTTACAGTTTTGGTCTAATACACCAAGAATGTAAGCTCGGCCAGTGTGTTACTTCCTCAGTATTTCCAGTTGAGTCATTTGTCACTATTTTGGTTATTATACAGTGTGTGTGTTTTGGTTTCCTTCAACTATCCAAGTATTTTACAAGCAAGAAGGGAAAACCAGTTACTGAGTCATTTATCCTTAAAATAAACTGTGGTGTTGCATTGTCTGTGTGTCTGTGTGTGTCCGTGTGGTTATATTGTGTGTGTATGTGTGTGTGTGTGTGTGTGTGTGTGTACTATTTGTGCATCCCAATCCCCAAGTCATGAAAAATTACTTTGGATTTGGGAGGCTGATAAACTTGGAGTTATAGAATTTATTTTCTTTTAACATTGCCACAGAAATAAATGATTATTATATATTTAGTTTTTATAAATGTTGGAGTAATTTGCATCTTTGAAAATATCTTGCTTCATTGTATCTAATTTTCAATATTTTGAAGGACATTTTAGCCAGGTTTTCTAAAGGCACTGTTTTTAAAATTTAATTTTATTAATAATTTCATCAATTTTTCTTATTTAAAGTAGCTAAAAGAGATAGTCAAAACATTTGAAATATTTTTAAGTTTTAGTGGGTATATTCATGTGCTCCAGCAGCCATAACACACTGGTGGTTTAAACAGCAGAAATGCATTTCTCATGGTTATGGAGCTGGGAAGTCCAAGGTCAAGGTGCAGGTGAATTTGGTTCCTGCTGAAGGCTCCCTTCCTGGAGTGCAGAGCTGCCTTCTCCCTGCTGGGCCCTCCCCTTGGGGGATGTGGGGGAAGAAAGGGAGGGAGGAAGGCAGGGAGAGGAAGGGAGGGTGCATGCACTATCTAGAGTCTCTTTTCATTAATCCTGTTGAATCAGGATCCCACTCCTATGACCTCATTTAACCTCAACTACCTTTTTATAGGCCCCGTCTCTGAATATAGTCACACTGGGGTTTGGGGTTTCAAAATATAAATTGGGGAGGACACAGTTCAGTTCATAGCAATAAGCTAATTAAATGTTAGGTAAAAGTTAAAGCAAAACATTTCTTAACTTTCTTAAGGGTCATATTATCTTCCGTTAACATTCCAAGTGTTTCTGATCCCTATCATTTGGATAATTTAGTATCTGACAAAACTTTCAACTTCCAGGGAAAAATGACTTTAATTCACCAATGTCTTAACTCCTTTTCCCTCAGACATTTTAATGCTTATACCCATAAAATTTACTAATTTAAAAGCTTGTTCTTTGTTTTAATTACAGATATTTAAGACTCAAAATAAATTAGTTTTCCATGAGTGTTGAGGAAAAAAATTTCTGAGTTATTTCTCAACGGTCGAAACCATAGGTGATTTCTGTTTCCTAATTGTTCCCACAGATAGCCAGTTTGAATTAAAGCTTATTATGGTATATATTCTCTTGTAATGAAGATATAAACATATTACTACTTAAAGTTTAGCTTTGCCAAAATAGTATCATATATGCATTTCCTTTTTGGGGGGAAGATTTATTTTTTTCAATCATTGTTTTCGTGATTAGAAATTATTCTACATCATTTGATTCTATCATAATAGGTATGTGATCAAAGGAATTGAGTATTATTGACTATTGAACACTATTTATAACCCTATGGAGCTGTATTCCTCAAATTTTAATTTGTTATAAAATTAAGAATGGGAATATTATTGTTATTCATTAGATTTCTTAGATAAATTAGAGATACTTTAAAATTTTTATTTTCATTGGCATTGTTTTGAAGTATTTTTTCTGAATTCATTATAGAAATGTGTGGAAACCCTGAGTTTAATTGACTTCCTACTATTCAAAGTTGCTAACATTCAAAAAACTTTTGAATGTAATTATAGATATTGCATGACTTATAGTCAATGTTTACTTATGAATTTATTGTACATTTCTATTGATTTGCTTTGAAACTGTTCACTAGGGGTTGAGTTTAGCAGTAGTGCAAAAACTATTTATTTAACTAAAGAAGAACGAATGAGGTCAACCCTTTCATGAAGGTGCTGAAATTTTTCCTTCTGTGGAGTGAAATAAATTTCTGATTAGCGTATCAATTGCTTTTATGTGGTATTTTAACAAGATGTTTCTAAAAAACATAAAATATTCTTCAAAATTAAGAGGGCATTCACAACATAAAAATGTCAGGTGTAATCTTTGTAGAATGACTTTTCTGTTTTCACTGTAGGCTTTTTATAATTATACCCTAGATATTTAAAGTAATTGTAACCGTATCGTATTTATGTGTTATCAAAGAGGAGATGGCTGCTTTCCAGTTTTTGTTCACGTATTTTCTATCTAATAGCCACCCACTAATACCTCCCACTGTATGCAGTCATGCTCTCGGACATTCCTGGCCACCAGGTGCCAGATGATTCTTTCCAGGGGAAGATCACTCGCTGACCAGATAACACATTCACAGTTCACAGGAAGGCTTTAGAAAAGACTTTTCGAAGCAATAAATCTCTGATAAACATTTTAAAGAGAAATATATAATGTAGAAAATTTTTAAAAATTAAAATAAAAACCACTTAGCATCTCTTCTTCCAGATTTTAATAAAATGTAGGTCTTATCAAATGATAACTCTGTAATTGAATATTAAGATCTTGATTTAACCTTTTTCTTTTAGTTTCTGAGAAGCACTGAAATTAATGTTTGTTTGTACAAAATCTTTGAGAACATACAATTTTCCTCCCGTTGCTTAAAAGTGTGCAAGACGTTCTTCCTTCCCTTCTTCCCTTTCCCTCCTGGTTTCGCCGCCCATCTCATCTCTCCCGGTAAAGCCCTCTTCTCCCATCCCCTTTCTGGTTTCCTAACTTTTTAATTTCTTTCCTCCCTCTGTTATTTCCTTTCAGAAAATATTTAGTTAAATTTAGTTGGAGCTTGAAATTCAAGTCAAGTCTTCATTCCACGTAGTGAAGGCGTGGTAGCCTGGGAGTGAGGAAAGGGGGATGGAGCGATTTGTTCTCGTCAAATCTCAGGACTTCTGTGACTCTGAAAGTTTCCTGACCTCACTAAAATCCTCATGTGTAAAATGGGTATACAGTGCTGACCTTGTATGGTTGTCACAAAAATGACAGTATATGAGGGCCATAAGTTATAACACAATTACTAAAAACAATACAAACTCAATTAGACATATGTATTATTTCATTGTCACTATTTCTACAGACTGACTATATATTAGGCTTTGCCAGCCTAATAAAGTCTTCTCTATTCACTACATGGATGTGCTCTTAATTCATGTAATTCTGTTCTACACATCCATTGGGCTTTATTTCTTTCAATGTAAATGTATGTTATTTTAGAAAATAATAATATAAAATAATACTTTATATGGGTTGGCATTTCAAGGCTTAAAATTGCTTTCATCTGCATTATCTTAATCCTCAAAATATCACTGTGAGCAAGTTATTATCCATTTTCACTATTTAAACTCAAGTTTCAAACTGAGTTTTAAACTGACCAAACTTAGACTCAAGAAAGTTAAGCAAATTGCCTAGATCAGAGATGTTTCTTTCATTTCATATCCAATGCTCTTTGGGGGACAATGCGGCAGATTTTGAAGACTGGCAAGACTTTTTTTCCTGTAGTCCATGGAAACACCAACATGCATGTATACAAACACGTTCATCTTCAGCCACTAAAGCGGAAGTAAGTGAAAGGATCTGATAGATCTCACTGTTTCATCTAACAGAAAAACAAGAGGAGGGCAGCCCCATTGCAAGGATATCCAGGCATAGCCATGGGCGTAAGCTTTGGAAGCTCAGTGAAGTACTTGTCACATTATCACCCTGTCCTGTTATGATCTTTCCAGACACCTCATTGTCTTTTTTTTTTTTTTTCCCCACTGACTCTTTCCTTCTCGTTTATACATATTGGTTTCTTTTCCCCTATACTGCCTTTCCCTTTTCCCATATGTGAGACCATCTCTGTTGCTCATCAGGTTTCTAGTCCCTGGATATACATTACTAATCTCCCAGAGAGAAATCACAAACACACAAGCAAACAAAATAAGACAAAACAGTAATTCCTTGTACTCATTATTAAATTGGAACTAACTGATGAGCACACATGTGCTCATAAGGGGAAGTAAATCTCAAAGGAAATCAAGGAGGAGAGAGGGGAGAGGAGAGGACAGCTGAAAACCTGCCTAAGGAGTACAATGAACACTATTTGGGTGATGGGCACATTTTTAACCCTAACTCGAGCATTACAAAAGTGACGTATGTAACCAAAAACATTTGTGCCCCCATAATACTTTGAAATAAAAAATAAAAAAATTTAAAAAAGACAAAACAGTACAAAGCAGCATTGAAACAGGGGGGACAAAAGATCAGCAAATTCAGAATATTTTCAAAACTTAAATTCGCATGGATCTCAAAACATTGCTCAAAATGTTTCTCCTAAGTTCTTCCTGACCTTCTATTGTGAATTATGTCTATTTTGTGTTTTAGATCTCTCCTGTTGGAAATATATACATATAATAAAAGCCATTAAATGTCAGTTCTAGAGAGGATATGCAATTTTTTTTTACGTATTTATCTGATACCTGTTTGGGCTAGTGTTATAATTGTCTGGTAGTTGTTGGTAGTATGAGTCTACACTATTCAGCCTGCAACTATAACATAACAATATTCACAGGCATATTTTTTTCTTTGTACTGATCAGCTGTCACTCTGCTTTTGAAATCTTTATAAGGAATGCATCCCTTTGATAGCCTTGCTTAAGATTGATTATCAAAGCTTCCTGCCTGATCATTTTGGAATCCTGATCTGACAAATGCAGGGAATTCTTTCCTTGATCTACTATAACACTGTATTTGTCACATTTTGTTACTATAAACAGGCTAGGGAGTATTCACATTTTTACTGCCAGCCTAGTACTTTCCCTAACTCATGTAACAGCTGTGCCACTGAAGACGAAAATCCACAAGAATACCAATGAGATGTCTGTGATAGCTCTTTCAGGCTTGTCGGAACAAATGCAGAGCTTCTGTTAGTACTATTCATGTGTTTCTAAATGTGCACACAGAAATTTGCATCGAAATTGTTAGCATTGTGGTTGTAAGAGGAATTTCATTATCTTAGCCTAAATCATTACTCCTGAAGAAAAAAAAAGAAACTTGCTGTTGATTTTTCTCCTTTTTATGATTGCTTGGGGAGTTAAATATGTATGCTACCTTACTGGAGAGTTTTACCTTCTTTTTGCATTATTCAACGTTATTGTGATTATATTATTGACTTCTATCATATTATTATATATACATGTGTGAATGTATATATGTATTAATTTTTTGTATATACATATATGCCCACATACTTTTCTGGGCTGTGTGTGTGTGTGCATAAGTTTATGTACTTTGGGGAAATGCTTCCAAAGATATTAGAAGAAAAACATATCTACATTGGTCCCTAAATTGATGGTGGAAGTTCTTTTTCATGTACCTCTCTGTATAAGGACTTTTGCCAGTAGTCTTTTCACTTCTAGAAAATACATGCTTGTCCATCTGTACTTATTTTCCAGATTCCTTTTATATCCAAGGGCAAACATTCCAGTCTGTGATCCTGGAATAGAACAAAGTTGTCCATCTATATAAGAAGACCCTCAATCTTGTCTAAATTAATTCCAACTAAAAAAATCAAGTGTGCACAGTTGCATATGGTAGCTCCTCTCTCCTAAACAAATCAAAGTCCAATCCATTCTTCCTCTTCTTCAGCCCCTTCATTGGGCCACCTTTATCTAGAGCTTGCTAGCTGGTCTCAACCCTCCCAGCCTCCCCCTCCACAAGCTGCCAGAGTATCCCCTTAGCAACCTGGAGCTGATCTTGCCATCCCCCTGCTTAAACTCCTTTATGACTTTCCATAATTCCTGGAATTAAGCGTCATTTCCCCACGGCCTACAAAGCTTCACCAACTCCTTCAGCATCATCTTCTGCTGTTTCCTCCCACCGTCCATCCACACCAGCCAGATTCCAGCGCCTCCAACACACCAATCTCCTCCTGACCTTGAGGCCTTTACCTTCTCTCCCCCTGGAACAATCTTCTCCCATATCTCAAAGGACTGGCATTTTAAATTATCTTAAATTCAATTTCAATGTGACCTCTTCACAGAGGACTTCTTGGACCATCCAATCAAAAGTGAAGTTTTTCTCTTTTCTGTGCATCCTGTTTTTTCCTTCACATACTGTTTGTACTTAGCATGTCTTATTTGTATCCTTGTTTCTCCCCTCGGTAGAATGTAAACACTCTGAGGGAAAAGACATCGTCCCTTTTTACCTCTTTGTACTAAACCACTAGCACCTGCCTGGCAAAGAGGAGATGAGCAAGAAAAAATTGGCAAATTATTGAACATATGTTATGAGATGTATCCATTATCTGCTAGAATTCCTCCACCGTCACCCCGTCATTATCTTCCCAGCTTTTGCTTGTTACTTACCCGCTGTGTGAGCCTAGAAAAATCACACGGCCTCTCCGGGGCTCCAGTTCTTCATCTGTTAATTAAAGATGTTTGACAATAGCAATGATGAATGTCAAACTTAAAAAAAATATATTATTTAGCAGAACCTTCCACAGAAATAAGCGTGTGAATGACAACTCTGATTTCTAGAGCAGAAAAAAGCCGATCATCTTTGTGGAGAGACCCAGAGCCCTCCACACTCGCCTGCCTCCTTCCCGCCTCAAAAGCAGCCATGAGGGAAGCTGGTGGGAAGTTCACTACTGGCACCCACGGCCCTTTCTGGGTGGGTTACCAATCACGCTAACGGGGCCCCCTTAGCCGCAGCACAGGCGCTGTGCCAAGCCCTCCAGATAAACTCGATTCTCACAACCACTCTGTGAAGTAGATGCTGTGTTAATCATATTTTATAAGAGAATGAAAAGGAGCTTCATGATGTTAAGACAAAAAATATTTAAGAACTCTCAGCTGGGAGGATATGCAACTGGGACTTAAATACCGTTCACCCAAATGAATAAAAATAATCCATGTTTTAGGCATAGATGGGCTTGACTTTTCCAGCATGTAAAGTGGGGAAGCTCAAATTAGTGTCTAAAATTTTCACCTGAATTTGCATGACTGATGAATACAGAATTTAAAAAACTGCCCGGATGGAGATCACCAGTTACTTCACGTGCAGGCTGAGCCAAGACGGCTGTCACTGCTCCTATTTTCACTCTGCTCGGAGAGCTGTCAGTCCGGGTAGCACTCGGAGCCTGTGAAACTCTTCAAAGTGGAACTAAATGTATAATGTTAAAAAGTTGATATCACACAATCCCAAAATTCTTTTGACAGCCCAGAAAATACTAGAATAGCTGGAACATTATGATTTCTATTTTTATCAGCAAAAAGAACCAGTTTTTAGATACTACTCTTGAACTACTTAAATAGATATTTCTGACAGTATTAAAGCCTCAAAGCTATGCCTCTAACCCAAAGTTAAATATCTTAGTTTAATAAAACTATGTTATATGTTTTATAGAGGTTAATTCTAAAAGATATTTAGAAATATATTTCTGTTAAATGTTGCAAGAGTAGGGAAAATAATAAACTCAGATGTTTGAGTGTGGGCATCTTGGTTGTGGAGGGGAGAGGCTTGTTCTTCACATTTCTGTGATCTAGAATATTTTACAAATTAAAGTTTAATAAATAAGCACGTAACTATTGGAATATTGTGTTTCCCGCTTATAGAAATGGTTTTATCGTCAATGCCAGATAGTCTACTAACAGGCCACCCTCCAACTATAATTAGTAACAAATCACCCTTCTGACCTTTTGACATACTGGATTCGTGTTTCTACCGTTACTACATTAGGTTCAGAAACAATCTGGAAAAACAATTGAATGATTTTATGAATTCATGGGGAAGATTTCATTTTGCAAAATATTCACTAATATCAGAAAAATAGATCTAAATTTAGTTCTCTTAAAAATGTGCTGTATTTTTCACTGGATAAACATTTAACTGATAAATAGTAATATTTAAGTTCAAATTATTTAGTAATGGTATATACAATTAATAATACAATATATAAGATAGCTATAAATACAAAATGCAAATGTAAATATAGAATACAAATAATACCAAAAAAAAAAAAACCTGGCTGTTATTACAAATTTACTATGGGCATCAATGAACTCACATTGATAACAAAATTCTTGTTCTTTTTGTTCCTCTGTGTTTGACATTTAAAAAACCAATGCGTCATATGATATCAAATGTCTACTTTTCAGAGCATGTTCTGTGTACATAAAATTAAACAATGCCCATTTCCAATTTGGAAAGGGTAGATTTTCATGTAATTAAAGAATGCAAATTTATCTTTTTTATTTGGAACATTGCAGTTTTTAAACTTTCCCTCTGTATCAAATTGAATGGGAAAGCATGTTTTTTTTTCCTTATGACAGAGTTAATCTCTCAGCTACCTTAATCTTAAGAATAATGTTGAGCAGAATAAAAATCACAAGCCAGAGATCTAAAAGCTGCTTTTAAAATCTAGCCTCATCCTACATGAATGTAGAATCCAAATTCCACACACATCGCTTCCTTTCCATGCCAACAATAGTAACATGAGAAGTTTTGTTTTAGCGTGGGGAACACCACAAGTATGTGAGCTGTTCAGCTGCCTGTCTTACCGAGGGCTCAGTGCAGCGCAGGGCTGTCCGAGTTACAAGTAGGGAATGGGGAGCGACAACATGTTGACGTGGTTTTGACAGACTTAATGACTGAGTGACACAAGGTAACCTGACATACAAAGTGTGTGTATGTGCACACTAGTGGTACACAGCAGAAATTCTCACCCGAATACATTTCTCTGTGGCTTTGCATACTTTTTTTCCTTTTCATTGAACAAAAATTTCATCTTTTAATAACAGTTTCAAACTCAGGTGGTCTTTAAAGTTTTGACACCTGATTGAAAATGGAGCATCCAACTGCAAAGAAAGTTGATTGGAAAGCAATTATAATTGATCATTCTTATTTTTTCCCCAGGTCAAACTGATGCCTCCTGCTCCAAATGATGACCTGGCAACGCTCAGTGAGCTCAATGATGGCAGCCTCCTTTATGAAATCCAGAAGCGCTTCGGGAACAATCAGATATACGTGAGTGCCCCCGAAATTGCCATGTGCACTGCTTTGTCTTGCTGTGTATTTTCATCACCCTTCCGTGCTGCCAATATTGCAAGCAAAGGGCTCATTGGCGCTTCTGGTCATAGCGATAACTTAAGGTGAATTTCTTAGAGTCCAGGTTCATTCTGGCTCAGTTATAAGGCAAATTCATCAAAGTTCCAAATTTTGGAGTTGTTAAGTAGAAGCCAATACCCTGAGGGTAGACACAGGTACTCACTAGTGTTGAACTTTCCTATAATCACGATTGCTCCGGAAGATCTCGCTAGAACCAGCAGATCTGCACATCACTTATAAAAATGCTGGGTGTCTCACCTACTTTAGCTGAGCCTGCTAGGTCTGGGAAAAAAAAGAAAAAGCTTAACAGGAAACATTGGCTATGCATGTAGGGATGCCTCTCTATTTGCATGAAAAGAGAAACAGTTGTTGCTCTAAATTACCAGGAAATGTCTTTGACTATAAAGTAAATAATTTATATACAGATTTATGATGATAGGATACAAAAATGTTACTCGGATGACAAACAGCATGGAGAATTGATTTTCTGTGGTTCCAGCCTCATTTGCGTGTCGCTTCTTCTAACACTGGTAACAATTTAGACACACTGTAATCTCAAAATCTCTCCTGCTTTCTTTCTTTCTGTCTCTCCCCCTCTCTCTTTCGCCCCGCTGCCACCGGAATTTTGTTATATTCTACATAGAGCACAGAGCAATTCAATCAGAATGTCTACGGAGAAATCTGATTATGCATATATTTGATATCCCTTTTTTGATAACACTCTTTTTTTCCTAATCTGCTGAGAAATTGATTAAGTAATTTTCATGTAAATGTGAAGTCTGAGATTTCCTCACAAGTAATAAATTGTCAGATGCTGATTAGCCTATGAAAAATGCAATACAACATCTTAATGTTGGGATAAATTACCTGCCACTGTAAATACACTTAAAATTAGATACTTCTATCAAAATTAATAAAATTAAATCACTGACATAAAGTGGTGAGACCTGATTCCTTTGGTCTCTGTTACCGCCCTGTTAACTTTTGCAAAGTGTATATTATTTTTATTCCATTTTCCCATCTTTTTGTCCCAGTATTGTAGTTGATTTTTGTTTGTTTTTACTCTTAATTATGGAACTGGAAGACCATTGCTTCACTCATTTTGTATTTTTTTACCCCCTCCATGCCTAACAAGTGGTGTCATCTCCTAAATATCAATGTAATCTGCCTCTCTCCCCCTCTGTGGCCACCCCCTCCTCAAAGCCATCCTCATCTTCCATTTCCAAACAGCTTCCTAACTTTCTAGAGCAACCTTCATGCTTGCTCAATCCAATCTCACAATGAACTAATTTTTTTATAAAGCAAAAATGTAATCTCAAAGCTCCCAGTCTGAAATCTTTCCTATGGTTTATCATTTTTCATGGGACTAAGACCAAGACTCCTTATTCCAGAGTCTAGGATCTCAACTATGAAACTTCTCATGGCCTGGCCCCTGAACAACACCGAGGACTCATACTACCATGTCTCAACTATTTGAGCATCACCTTCCTTCCTGCACTGAGGACTCTCCATAGACTGTTTTCTCTTTCCCCTGAAGTTTTCTTTCTGCACCATGAAATATTTAGCTTTATAAACTCTAGCACTTCCAGATTAAATCACTGTGGACTCTCTGTCTCTCCAGCATTTGTCAGAGTTTGTGATTATTTACTTCATGGGTGGTTTGGGTAATGTCTGGCTGGTGCTGGACTCTGAGCTCGGTGAGCATGGAGTTTGTGGGTTGTGCTCACCATGAGGCCTGGCCAATGCTTTCTAAAGATTAATTAGATATATATATATATATATCTAATATATATATATATATATATATATATATATATATGGCACTATTGACATGTTACGATGGGTAATTTTATATCCCCTTCTAAAAAGTTCATGAAAACTTTCAAACTCAGCATTCACAAAGTGCTTATCCTGTGGGTCTCCCCCCACATGGCAAACAGCATTTTATGAATAGCACCAACCTTTTCCTATCCTTGTGACCTGTGACCCAGGAATATTATCAAATGACACTTCCCATGTTTAAGATTCTAACTTAACATGAACCTAATCTTGTTGCTTTTGGGAAGAAAGTCACAATTAATCTTAAATGACAAATAATTCCTACCTTTTTATCAGAGCCTTGGCTCCAGTTCCTTCACAAAGTGGACCATTTTCTTATATAATTTTCCCTTTACTTGGTTTGTATCTCTTTCTGGATAATCAGTATTAATATTCCCTTCTTTGCTAAAGGTCTTGCACCATATAAATTTGCCACTGTGTGAGACATGGGTTTCCTTTTCATAATACCTGGAATATTGAAAAGCTAAATTGACTGTGATCAACTCTGTAATAGGAGTGCTCCATGTTACGGTATATGAAATCACATCTAATGGCTAGACAAGCAATTTAAACTTTATGGATTAAATAATAATAAGTGCTTTTCAATGTATCATCTGTGGTCCAGTAGATACGTGAACGTTTTATTACCAGTGTGTAATAAGAGTGTTTTTAGAGAAACTCTTACAGCAGTTTGATCATTTAATTTTCATCTGTTGGATTTAATACAAATTGGGGCTTGCATTTTGTATGTCTGTCTTTTTCAATCTCATTTTTTAGTAATTCATTTTTATTATGTTTTACAAAGGTATCAGTCCATGATTAATTGGGACTAAAAGCAAGTGTTCCTTACCTACAAATAGAAAATCACTAGTTTCTTAGAAATTTCAAAATTCAAACATCTGAATTTGTTTTTCTTCCACACCCCACACCTGATTTTCCTGTGACATCAGCCCTCCCTTTCAGATGTACACAGCATACAACCTCACCCTGGGGACCTGTCTTGCTTCAATCATTGCATTTTGTGCTAACCTTCAAATAAGTGTATGGGCTTCCTTTGACCACCCATCTGTCCACTCCCCACACAAGAGCCAGAGTGATGCCGTTAGAAGGTACATTGCATCATGACGTTTCTCTGCTGAAACAACTCTAGCTCACTCAGCGTAAAGCCAGAGTCTGAAGAAAGGCCCATATGGCCTGAACACTTTTTCTTACTCCTCACACTTCTGACCTCAGGTGCTACAGCCCTCCCCTTCGGTGCCCCTGCTATGGCCATGATGGTGCCTTTGTTTCCGCTGAGCACACCCAGCATGTCTGTGAAGCCTGTGCTTGAATAGCCTGACTGCTGAGAGCCCCTCCCTTTCTCCTCCCTCCTCCCCTCAGGGCTTCACACAAACTTCCTTGCTGACCAAACCCAGCCCCTCAGCATATTTTAAATTGCAGCATGCACATCCCATTCCTTTGCCTTGCTGTATTTTTCTCCATAAGCTTATCACTCTCTAACATATTTTATATTTTTCTTATTTAGATTCTTATTTAGATTCTGCCTTCTCCCCATCTCACCCTGCACATGTTCACACACACACTAGAATGTGAGCTCCGTGAGGGCAAGAACTTTTGTTATGTTCCCTGCTCACTGCCACATATATGACAACAGGTAGGTGCCCAATAAACATTGAATAAATGAGGAGACCACTTAGACCAAATACACATTTTAGCACAAGAGAAAGAAATTAGTATTTATTTATCCATGGCAAACAACTGAGGGTTGAGTGATGGCTTTCATCAGAGCCAACATAAAATATATTAACCGAATGAATTATGTGAACAGAATTTTCATCTCTTTTTCCTGTAGTCTGATTTGTTATACAGTATGATTTTTCAAAACAGATTATAAATTTCTCTTTTCCTAAGTGTGTAACATTCCATCTGGACATTGGATGGGGGAGTTTCCATAGTCTGTTGCAGCAGGAAGTTTCCAAACCTTCAAACAGAAAACGAATTGCAGGTGATATGATACGTACTCCCCAGGAAATGCACAGAATAAAAGCATTGCATTCTCGAAATAATGACTGCCAAAAGTACCAGGGAGAACAGAATATGCAATCAAATTCCTTTATGGACAGCAAAGGAGTTTGCTGGCAGCGTTGACTTTACAAACACATTAGTGGGACTTGAGATTCATAAAGAAAAAAGCCACAAAATAAACACAGGAGCTTCTGTTAACATCTGGTTAGCCAAGAGAGTTCTAAAATACATATACAGCAATTGGCACTAAGCAAATCAAAGTCAATGAAACATTGTGTGACACCTCCCAGCACACAGCCTGGCTCATCGCAGCCACTTAACACCTGTTAATTTGCTGAGCAGGGTGACCCAGTGGGATGTAGCAGGTCCTCTTTTTAAGAGCATTTCTAGAGGCTAAAATTGACAGGCTGGAGTCAGAGACTGAGGTTTCTCTCACTTCAAGGATATTTGAAATTGTGTAGATGGATACATTTTTCCCAAGCTAATACTGCCCCCAGCCTACTTACCTGCAGCCCCATCTATGATATCCTACGCTATGCAACGCAATACCTGCCATATGGTTTCATGTCATTCCACTCAACCTAAAAGTCCCTTTTGAGTACTTAACATGTGTAAGCTATCGAAAAAAAAGTAATATATCCAAAAGATGAGGTCAAAGGATTCTCTTGATTTCTACAAGTTAAACTCTTTCTCTGAAGGACATTTAAAATGTTCCATTTCATCAAAACAGCCTCCTTGCTTCTGATGATTTATCAAAAGTCACATTCTATGACTTTAGAATTAACATTAAATCACACTTTATAAACTATTTTTATCACAAAATGTATTTTCAAGGACACAGGCTCAAATTCCTTCAACAAGTAGGCCAATATAAAAATTCTAATAAAAAAATAAAATATAAAAATTCTACCTCACTTAGAAGTATTTTGATTTTATTTTAAAGTTTCTCATCTTCCTTAATTAATCAGCAAATTTCTAATTTTTTTAACAATCCAATTTCTAGCTGCATTTTTCTTCTCTAGCATTTAACAGTAGCTTTCAGTATATTACATTAATAAGGCCCATATCTTCAGATCTATTATTTCACTTTTATTTCTTCTCTTATTCACTTGGGTATAAAATACTGGCTGATCCTTTTAAGTAAATGCTACATTTCATTGAGCTTACTAATTATCCATATTTGGAATTCTTTATCTGTCATTTCAATATTCTGATTTTGGTTGGTTTCCATTGCTAGAGAGCTAGTGTTCCCTTTTGGGGGTGACCTTCCCTTTGATTCTTCATACTTCTGAAGTTCTTTCACTGATTCCTTCTCATCTGGAGCAGCTATTGCTTCTTATTTTGGGATTTTCTTTTGTTTAGATAGGGCTTTTTCCCCTTTCCTCACTCGTATGGGTGTGTTTGTAGCACATATTGGGTAAGAACCTTTGGCTTTGCTTGTGGGTGCTTTGACGGAGCTCTAGGTTCTGGATGGATACTTTGGTTATGGATAGCCTTGGTGTGGTGGTTTTCTCAGTTGCTAGTTGTTCGTAGGCTGCAGCAGTGGTGAGCTATGTGAGTGGGCATATTCCCTGCCTGTCTTTGATGAGAAAGGATGGAGGTCTTCGAAATCCTTTCTCTTTCCCGAGCCCTATGGTCTTCTTAACAGTGTGAGTTGTGCTGACACACCCAATTTAGTCTCAGAGCCAGTCGGTGGTGCTTGTGGGTGAGAATAGACCACACCCTGCATGATGATGAATCAGTAAATGCTATGAAGGGCCTGCAAAGTGGCCTCCCTCTCAGTAGGTGGCGCTTGCTGGGAGAAACAAACTCTAATGCTGTTTTTGGGACGTGTGACCAGCTCTAGTTCCTCTGGAGAAGAATTCTAGTGCCCCAGGTGGTGGGTAGGGCCGCTGGGGGAGTGAGACTGGGCAGGGCTGGGTTGGGTGAGCCTGCCCTCCCACTCCACAGAAGCCGGCAAGGGATCTGCTTTGGCAGGAGTCAAAGGTCTGCTCCCCACCTCTGGGCTCAGCTGCCAGGGAGGGTCCGAGGTGGCCCCACTCAACCAGAAAGTCTGCCTGTGGAGATGGGGTTGTCTGAGACCCACAGTCTCGTAGTCTGCAGCAAGCCTTGCTCCTTTCCACCTTCCCCTATTCTGTGGTTTCTCCCAGTCGTCTGCTGACAGGCAGGACCTCAAGCCAGCCAAGCTCCACAGCGACTGCCCAGTGGGCTGGGAGGTTCCCTGCCCAGGATCCTGGACTGAGCTGGGAGCGTGGCCCTCCCATAGGAGGAGGGGTGCCCAGCGAGCACGCTGTAGCGAGGACCCACTCTGATCTGCCCCTGCCGGCACCCACACCTCCTGAGACTGATTCACAAATCTCCCCTCCGTGCCCCCAGCAATGAGATTGAGACCCTGGTGTACAGGATCTTGCTTGGGAGCCTGTCCCCAGGTCCCCGAAGATCAGTCCTTGGCCATGCCAGGGAGAAGCATGGTCCTGAGTTGCCCGTGGGGTGCCCAAGCAGGTTTCATGTCCCTCTGCCACAGGGTGTGCCCCACTCTGATGGAGTCACTGGGCAAGAAGCACGAGGGAGGGCCAGCAGCCAGGGAGCTCACAGTCTGAGCACCCCTCAATCTGCTGCAGGACCCCAAGAGGAAAGGTCTGAGCCCCACTCTGTGAAAGCTTTGATGTGATGGCTCAATTGTCTTGAGAGAGCTGCTGAGAGGCAGCTGCAGATAGGGAAAGGGAAGGGGAGGAAGAGAGTCTGGATGGAGGAAATGCCAGCACTCTGGTCGTGTCTGTCCCTCACTCTGGGAGGCCACCTGCCCAAAGTGTCCAGGCACTGTTGTCACACAGATCACTTGGGACCCATTGGACCCCTGTGGCTCCTGCAGTCTGGGCCAGAGTTGGGAAATGGCTGTGTGGGAGTGAACAAGATGAAACCCGAGGAGTTGAAGCCCCCTGGGGAGGACAAAGGTGCACAGTGGGTAGAGAAGCAGGATGGCCCCTGCTGTCCGCACTTGGGTCTGTTGAGACAGGAGGTGCCCCGTGGGGCTGGGAGCCTGGTGGCCTGTCCACAAGCAGCTCCCAGCTCACTGGCAGCAGCAGCCTCTGGGCTCTTGTGGGAAGAAAGTCTCTGTAGCAGCTCGGGAAGCTGCTGGCTGTCAGAGGGAGGGAGAAACGAACTGTTCCACCTCCCCTTCTCCCTGGACTTCAAGCCTGTCCGTCTCCACCCATACCTTGTTCCTTCCTGTTCTGCTCCGCAACTTCTTCCCATGGAGTCTCCTGAAGGTTCTGGCACCCTTCCCTCAGATCCACCCCAATCTCTGCTGGTCTGTTCGTTTTTTCTCTTTCATCTAAAACTTCTTCTTACTGAGATACTCTGGCAGCTGATGTCACTGGTCAGCCATCTTGCTGACCCCATCATTTGTTGTACGTTCAGTGGAACAAAGCCTATTGGCAATGTTACTCAATTTGAACTTGACTTTACTATTTCCTTAACTGCAAGTTTTTAAAAAAGTTTGCAAAATGTGACGGAGTGATTTTACTTGTTCTTTATATTTTGTACAATGTTTTTAAAATTATATAACTTTTAATTTTTAAAGGTTCTGTTTATATGGCTCATAAAATCTTTATATTCTTTTTTGTGAACAGACTTTTATTGGGGACATCCTCTTGCTTGTTAATCCATTCAAGGAGCTTCCAATTTATTCTCCCATGGTGAGTATAAAACTTTAAACATCATTTAATAATGTAGAGTAACACTCACTAGGCATACATATTGTATCAAATTATTGATGGAGAAAGAAAAAACGTTAAGACAAATTTCTCAAGAATTTATACAAATTTTTAATTGAATGATTGTATGATAGTGACTTTAGTTTGTTTTGAGGCAACTTGGAAAATTAGTTATTTTATCAAAAATTTTCTTTGCACTTAGAATGTGTAATTTCTCTATGATCGTAATCACTAGACAGACTTTTAAAATTAAATAATATATAATTTCATTTTCTGTACATTCTTGACTAACTCCAGATCAGCTAGTTTAGAGCCCTTGTGTGAAGACATGACTTCTTTCTGAAGAAGTTAAAGCAATGGTAATTAGAAAGAGTAATATTGCATGTGTGCGTTTTCCCAAATGACTCACCAGCTTTAGTTATGAGACCCTCAAAATCAAAAGAGAAATTGCTTATAGAAAATTATTCCAGCCAACTGAAAACACAATATGATTTCCGAGTAGTAATGTACCAAAAATACTATTAGGAGCTCCTTGTTTTGTGTGGCCCCAAGGCTGGTTCCACTGAGAAGCAGAATCCCTGCAAGGGAGCGGGAGTGTGTCAGACAGGAGAAGGGGAGTGGACACGTGTTCTTGATGCAGGGAGCCACTAGTCCATGTTGGAGGGGAGAGGGAGGGAGAGAGAGATTACTCTCTAAGCCTCCAAGGAGTGAGATAAGAATTATCACAGAAACAGCTCTTCAGAAGAGTACCCCCTCACTAACCCCCCACTTCACCCTTCTTACCAATAGTCACTTCCACTGTTACTGTAAAACTGTGTTGAAACTTGTCCACTCCCCTCATTCCACCCACGTCTACCCCAGCCTCACCCCTGGGCAATCTAAGAATATATGGGAGCCTGAGAAACTGGGGAAGGGGGCGTTACCCAGAGTCATTTCAGGAATTATAGCAGAGAATTAAAGTTAATCTGATATGTGATTATTAGATAGTTTTGAGGAAAAGCTCAGTGCTGTATTTGTCACTGTTCTTGAGCTGTAAGTAATATTTTTCTAAATCTGTTTATTGAAGTATAATGTACATACTGCATAGCATAGAAATATTAAATGTTCCATTCAACTAATTTATGCAAAGTAATGGCATTCTTGAAACCATCATGCAGATCAAGAAATAGAACGTTAGTATCATCACAGATGTCTCCCCCATACCCTGTCCCAGTCATGACATAGCTCCCCAAAGGCCAACACAATTCTATTACCACCTCTACGTGGATGAAATTTATATTAATGGAATCTTACCGAATATCTTTCTCTGTATCTGGCTACTTCCTCTCAATATATGGATGGGAGCTTCGTCCTTGTTTTTGTGTGTAGCAATAAAATAAGTATAGTAGTTTTTTTTTTTCTTTTGTATTACTAGATAAAATTCCCTTTTGTGGCTATATGGGAATTTAATTAACTATTGATGGAACTTTGGTCTGTTTGGGCTAGTATATTACTGCTATGAACTTTCACACACATGTTTTATGGATAACATATGTATTTCTTTTGTTGGATATATACTTAAAAGTGGAATTGGCACATTGAATTATAAACATATGCATTTGTTTGGTTTTGGTAAATATCATCCATTTTCCAAGTGATTGTGCTAACATACATTCCCATCAACATAATACAGAAATTCTAGTTGCTTCTCTTATTTGCTCAAATTTTATTTATTTTGTTTGCGTATCATTCTGCTGGGTATATATCCTATTGTTTTAATATGTGTTTCTCTGATAACCAATGATAGCATTTTCACATAATTATTGTTCAATTATATCCTCTTTTGTGACATGTCTTTTCAAGGCTTCTACACAATTTTTAAATTAAAAACTTAAAAATTGGTTTGTCTACCTTTTTCTTATTGCTTTGAAAACTACTTAAATATTCTGTATTCTCAACACATATAGAAAACATCGTGTAAGAGGTAGGGACCACAATTCATTTGTTTTCTTATATATTTATAGTTTCTTATATTATTTCTTGTATTTCCTGAATTTCGAAAGTTAAAGCCACCTTGCATTGCCGATGTTTTATCCTTTTCTTTATATTGCTGGATTCTATTAAATTATATTTTGTTTATGATTTTTGTATCTATGCTCATGACAGAGATAGACCTCCAATTTACCTTTCTTTTACTGTTTTTTTCAGTCCTTTATATTAACATTGTGTTGGTTCCACAAAAGGAATTGGAAAATATACTCTGTTTTCTAGCCTCTGAAAGAGTTTGTGTAAACTTGATGTTATTTCTTTCTTAAATGTTTAGAGGCCTTCGCTAGTGGGGCAACTAAGAACTGTTATTTTCTTTGTGGCAAGGGTTTTAGTTCCAGATTTAATGTCTTTGACAATATAGGACAGTTCGTATTCTTATTTCTTTTCGTGCTAGCTTTTAATAATTGTGTTTTTCAGGCATTATGTTAATTATATTTAAATGTCAACAGTTTCGACATAGAAATATCCATAGTTCTATCTGTATCATTTTAATGCGTGTAGAGTTTTGAGTGATTTTTTTATTCCATATTTTGGTAATTTGTGCCCTTTCTGACATTTTAAAATCAATATAATAGGAATTTATTAATTGTATTAATCTTTTCAAAGAAAAAAATCGTGGCTATTTTTTTCTCTATTTTATATTTATCCTCTACGCAATTGATTTCTGCTTTTATCTTTGCTGTTTTCTTCTTCCTACTTTTCTTGGTTGTAATTTGATTACTGTTTATGCTTTATAGCTATATCATTGATTTCCTGCTTTTTGTTTCTAAAATAAGTATTTGAAACTTTTTTATTTTGTTTTAAACACAGCTTTACTGAATTCTACATGTTTGACATTTCCCAAGTTTATTACCATTTAATTTAAAGTGTTATCTGTTGCTATTTGTGATTTTTTTCTTTGTCATATGAATTCTATAAAAATATAAGTTTATTTATCTTTTTCTGTTTTCACTTTTATTCCTCTTTGACCTACCATCTGGATATATTGGCTAACCAGGTTAATTAATTAATTAATTCTCTTTTCTGTAGTTTTGAATCTGCTGATAAAATCATCTATTAAATTTCTATGTTTGATATTTTTCTCATTGCTAAAATTTCCATTTTATACTCTTAAAAATTCCAACTGTCTGGTGAAATTCTTCGTTTTGCTACCTGTTTTCCTGAACATGTCAATCACTGTTATTTTAAATTCTGTGTCTGGTGATTCTAAAATCATGGTCTGTTTCTGCTGCGTGTATGTGTGTATGCGTGTGTGTGTGTGTGTGTGTGTATGTGTCGGCTTTTCATTATATGCACATATTTACTTATGTTCATGGAAATTGTAAAAACATAAACCAATGTAAAAAATTGTAGCATCCAGGATGTTATCTTCCTCCCCAAAATATTTGATCTTTCCCGCTGGTGGGCAGCTACGTGGTAGACAGACCGTCTTGACCTGGCAAAGTCTCATTTAGTTTTCCTTTGCTCTTTTCCATGAGGTGTGCCCCTTGCCCGTCTCAGCAGAGGCTGTGGTGATGTCCACTTGCTTTTCCTCTGCTTCTGATCCCTGAACACGAGTTTGTCTCCCCGGCACTGTGAGGGACTGATAACGTCCCTGCTTACTTTCTTTGGCGCTGTGGAGCTTTGCTCAGCAAAATGGCAGTGTGTGTTAAGGAGAGCCAGGCAAACAGCCTGCCTGGCTCCATGTATTTTGACTTTCTCCAAGATCTTGGCTCCTCAAGCCATAGATGCTTTGGTGATTTTATGAGGCCTACAGTTAGACGCTTAATTTGTATTTTATCTGGTTTTTATAGCTGTCCATGATAAGAGAATTAGTCTGATACTAGCTTCTCCATTATAGCTATAGAATATAGTAGACCATAACTATTTTTATTGCATTAGTGTCAGAAGATCACTCACCTTCAACTACCTAAGCTTGTTTGAGGTTCCATGCCTATTATTATTATTTAATTCTGTATGTGTCTTTTAGAAAAGGGGAGAGAGAGGGGACAAAAATGCTCTTTAAAGTTAACTATTAGTGTATTGTTCTTGGCTTTTCTTTATGGTCACACTTGATTGTAGAGCTAATAAGAATCTTATAG